AAAATAATAAAGAGAGAGAGAGAGAGAGAGAGAGAGAGAGAGAGAGAGTATGGTATTGGCCCCCTTAGAGAGCTACGTACTGATATGCAAATTGCTAATGATTAATTACTCCTTTCCTTTACATGCATTTCAAATTATTCCTAATTACTTATTTAGTAAATTAATCATTAAAAAAAGACAATGAAAATGGAAGGGATTATGAATTTTCATTTCATTGAAAGAAACAAAGGGACAGATTTCATCACAAGCCATTAGGAACGATCAAGAAAACTCTGTGGCGGCGGCAAAGTGAAAATCACCGAATATGCCGTCTATATCCAAACCATGTAAGCTGGTAGAAATATCATCAGCTGCCATTATAGCAGGAACCGAAGGAGAAGACACCATGAAATCCTTCCAAATATTAGAATCAGTTTGTTCCTTTGACTCTTCTTCTTCTTTCGTCGTGGGATTATCAGAGGAAGGGGGCTGATCGTTTTTACAAGGAACTTTTGGATTTGCTTCAAAAGGAGGGTATTCACGCATGAGGCCGCTAGATTCTGGAGTAATCGTAATCTGGCACTGTGGCTCCTTTTGTGAACGTTTGCAAATGTGATGGCCAAAATATGTGGTTTGGTAAATTATAGGGTCCTCTTTGATTCTTTGAATTCGTTTAGTGGCCTGGCCTTCTTGATCATACTTGTAAGTGCACCGATAGTAGCACCTACAAACAACAATATATAGCAGTATACTTCAATTTAATCCTAATTGTCAGTCTCGAACAGCTATATAAATTTTCACTATTCGAGTTGCTGACAATTATGTCCTTCTCACTAAAATATTATAAATATTTATTTCTCTAGCACCAGAATGGTTTTCAACATTTTCTAGTGGCAACGAGAGTAGCACCAATCGTTACAATAAGGGGTACCACGCAAACTTGGTAAAATGAAAATTCCTTCGATTATGGTTATGACATTTAATAGGAGAAATAAAATACACCATCCATTTCAATTTAGATAACTTGGTAAAAATCATGATATTAGTCTGTTCCAAAAAGAGCGACGCATTTCTATATTTAAAAATAATTTAACTTTAAGATTTTTATTTTACCTATTTTACCCTTAATGAGATGGTTTTATTGCCACACAAATATCATGGTTTTTACTCAAATCCTCACTTTCTTCAATTTGATTCATCAAACAATCGCTAAATTCAAGGTTGGAATTAATAGATATGAAATATTGATGAAAAAAGAAGAAGAAGGTTTTTAACTCCATGAGAGTGTTCTTCCTTTCGGTGAAAGAAAATTACTACTACTCCCTCCATTTCAATTTATGTGAACCTATTTCCTTTTTAGTCCGTGCCAAAAAGAATGATACATTTCCTTATTTGAAAATAATTTACCTTTATGCAATGATTTATAGCCAAACAAAATATATGTGCCTCATTTTACACCACAAGTTCAAAAGTCTTCTCTCTTTTCTTAAAATTCGTGCCCAATCAAATGGGTTAATATAAATGATGGAGTATAATTTACTATAAAAGTTGGCATATTGTCGTAGGTACGCTACGAGAAACAAGAAAAGTACGTTTGTATACCTTGGATATTTTGAATTAAGTATAACCTTATGTCCGTATTTCCTCCACTCATATTCATCTTCCTTTTTTGCAGACTCTCTCATCATCCACGACTCTGAGTTCTTTCTGCATTGAGCAAAACATTAATTCTTCAATTTGCAAAACTAATCTTTATTCAGGATAAAAAAAGTACGAGTATTGTTTGACATTACAAGTAGTTTGTGATTATCTATCTACTTCAGAACATAAATAAATAAATAAATAAGTACCGTACTAGATATTTAGTTGAGAGTGAGATTGTTATTTGCATCAAGGTTCAAAATATGTCCATCTTACGCGTGTGAAATTTTCTTGCACTGCATTGTAGCACGTCGCAAATTATTTAATCTTTTTTATTCGGATAATCAGTTTAGACTAATTATAAAAACGTTATAGTGTGGTATATGTCAATTTAACCTGATACTCCACTAAATATTATTCCCTTTGCTCTACTTTATATGACACAGTTTAAAGAGTCAAAGGAATTTGTGTCTGACTGTGATTTTTTCATATGCTTTTTTAATATTGTGACTTTATAAGTTTCTAAATATGTAACTTTTATTTTAAACAACTGCAAGATACTATATCCGAGTTCATGCTGAAAATTAAATAATTTACACTCGTGCTCCGAATAGTATCATATAAAGTGAGGCGAAGGGAGTATATAGTGTTATTAAGTAGAGAGTTAAACTCATTAAATTATACTATCACCTTCTCCTGTAGCAACCTCCACTCCGGTTCTTTGTCACTTGCAGCTTGTCCTTCCTGAACTCGCTGCCAAAGTCCTTGGACCCTAGGTTGTCAGCAGCCTCAGGGATCTGGAATAGCCCTTTGGAGCGGGGAAAAGCTGTGAGTTCCGAAAGAGCATCAGTAAAAGAGGCCCAAATTTTGAGAATAAGGTCATGAGCCGAGCCTGGTTGATGATCTCCAGCAAGAGGTTGTTGAAGTAGAGTTTGAAGTTGTACTACAAATTCTTTGCCTTGTATAAGCTCTTTGATCAATCTTTTCCGAGCTGTACGTGGACTTTCAAAGTTCTCCATCTTGCTTAATTAGTTGAGTTGGTTTGGATATATAAGATCTGATAAATTGGGAACGGAGTTGATTTTGTTTTGGGGAGGAATGTTTCCTTTTATATGAGTGGTTGAAGGAAGGAGAAAGGCAAATCAAAAAAAGCATAGAGGAAGCAACACAAACGAAAAATAAAACTAGGAATTTTTTTTGTAAAAATAGGTAATAGTACAAGATTTTGATGTTAAAATGGTGACATATGAGCATGACGCAATGTTATTTTTCATTTTTCTTTTCTTGTTAGGTTTTGTCTATTTTGGATAGTGTACTGAAAGTAGGGGGGGTGAGTTGTAGCGCTTATTAATTTTATGAATGCTAGTCGACTAGTTTATCAGTTAGTCGATTAAACTTTAGGGGAAGAGTATAGTGAGATAGCAAGTGCAGAATTAAAAATAAAGAGAAATAAATGACACATCGATATTTTAATAATGAATCCCGGTCTAGTCCCTTTGAGTTAGTTGCAAGAGAGTTCTCTCTTTTATGCTCCCTGTTATTTTTTAGAACACCTTATTTATGAGTTTTCTACCCCTCTTATGCTATATTTTAACTCTGCATTCGTTTTGAATGCTTCACCAATCATTCTCTCTCTCTTTTCTCTCCTTCTATTACACAGTAAATCAGACTGAACTATAATATTTCTTAAGAGTAGAATAAAGAGCTTGAAGTTGATTAGATAAAAGTATATATTCTTCGTCTTGATCTTCGAATATATATAGTCTGAGTAGTGAGCCGTTTGGGATCTTTGATTGGCATCGATATTGAGAGATTAACAACTCGAAGGAATCGATCATTAGAATAATCTTTATTGATGTTTCTTTCCAAGAATGAGTATGGAGCCTTTTTATTACAGAATCTTCTCCTTCATGTACTGCATCGAATTCTAATTGTTTCTGATAGAATTCGAGGGTCCACCAAATTATATAGAGAACCAGGTTCTCTACTAGTTTCCACAGATTACGCACACACAACAGTAAGTAAATGACACTTAGAGTTTTTACATGAAAAATTTTCAGCTCACGGGATTAAAAATAACGACCAACCCTTGTAGGATTTCAACTTCACTACTGAGCAAACTTTTAGATTACAACCTATTGTAACCTAGGAATTAACTTCGTAATCCCTCACTAACTTGTAACAATCCTATTACAAGCCACTTTGTAATACCTCTGTTACAAAGACTTTACAACTCGATTAACTCTAGCCAAGATACAAACGCAAAGGTTTATGATTTACAAAGAGTTTCCTACACAATGCTTCTAAGTAAGCTAAGTAGGAATTACAAGTAAGAACTTTGACAAAGGTACAACTCAACTAAGGACATATAATAACTTGATGTGGGGAACTGGTCCGTAGCAGTGTTGTTCTTTGTTCTTGATGCACTTGAAAATCATTTTTTGGATGATCAATCACTGTGAGAGTGCTTGAATGAATTCTCTAATGTTCAAAATGATGTTTTGTCTTTGGTTTAATGTTAATATAATATTGATGACATCACTTGAATGATGTAAGCAACTTGGGTACAAGATCCTTCCTAATGGAGTTGACTGCTGCACTATATTGTACTGTTGCGTGTGCATGCAACCACTTTCCAACTGTTGGAGGGTTGACTAGTACGATCACCAGGGGAACTGATGTCCATCTATTCCCCTTGTTGATTCTTTATCTTCTGAAAGACTGACGAACCTCTCAAGCTTAAGTCTGGTTATTTCCACATGCTTGAGAATGTGTATCAGGTTCCTTATCTGGTTATTGACATTAAGTTTGTTAGATCATCAAAACATAAAACAAGGTACTTATAACCTATCAGTTTCGCTTTTATATAATTGCTTGATTGAGTAGTCCTTAGGTGCATGACTTTTCTGGCCTGAGTTGATTCTGTCACGACCCCAATTTCTATCTGTAGGATATCATGATGGCACCTAGTCTCTACGACTAGGTAAGCCTAACATTTGATAACAACTGAACAAATATAATTAACAAATACTAAAAACTAGTCTAATAACTCATATAAACTTCTGAAAAATAGAATCTCAACAATGCACTCCCCAAGAACGGCGGAACAAAGTAATAAGCTCTACAGAGTAAGCTAAAGTGTCTAGTACATCACAGTATGAATTAAAAATATAACAGTAGCAAAGGTAAAGGAAGGTGACTCTGAGGCCTGTGGACATAGAGCAGGTATACCTTGAAGTCTCCAAAGCAACAACTCAAATCAATTATAGCGTCCGGCACTGGCAGACGTACCTGGATCTGCATAAAAATTGAGCAGAAGCATAGTATGAGTACACCACAATGGTACCCAGTAAGTATCAAGCCTAACCTCAGTAGAGTAGTGATGAGGCCAGGTCAAGACACCTACTAGGATATAAATAAACAGAATGAAATCATAAAAATGAATAATAATGGAAAGTGGAGAAATAACTGATACGAACAAGATGATAGCATGAACTAATACCAGAAACCTAACATGGAAATAACATAAAGAAGCAATTAAAGAGAACCAAAATGATCATATACGGACAACAACTGTTAGAACAAAGAAGGAAAAAACAACAAGAAACGTTTCCACCAAAACTCTTTGCAACATGAGATAGGCAACAAGAATCACAACGAGGTACCGCCTCGTATACAATAAGAATCACCACCGAGGTACCGCCTTGTATAAATCAAGTATCACAATCGAGGTACCGCCTCGTATTCACATTTCTCAATTTCAATCACAATCTTTCCTTATACCGCCGCGTGAGCCTTACGTTTGAAATAGGATTTGAAAACAGTTTTTTCGAAATAGATACACGCACTTTAGCTAACCTTATGACGCCGCGTGGATTCACGTAGTTACCCTACAAGCAACATGCACATAAGTCCCACCTTATACTGCCACATGCACGTTAACCCCAAGCCTTATACCGACGCATGCGCGTCAATATCACATTACAATAATGTCACGCCCCAACCTCGGGGAGCGCGACCGGCGCTTAACCGAGTGAACTCGGTCGAGCAAGCCTAGTAAACCTTTCCTGCCCGACTCATTCATGATCCAAAAAGGGAATGCGTCACCATTTGTAAAACAGGGGAGAGCTCAGTTATATAAATATATAAACGTTGCTAGTTCATTTTTTTCATTATATGCATTATGCCATAGTTAAGTTTTCAAAATACAACTCGATCCAACGACCGCCCCAACATACATACATGACCCACAAAAACGTCTACGGAGCCTCTAAGGATACAAAAGAGCAACATGACCATGCCAGCAACAAAGCCCCGGCTATACCTCAAAATGTGAAAACTTATACAAAGAAGGACTACATGACCCCTGGGAGAAATAGGGCTCACCAAAACTGTTGTGAGGAGAGAAAGAGAGCACCACTATCTGCGATCGGCACTATCTGCGTTGGAACCACCTACATCCATTCAAAGATGTAGCGCCCCCGGCAAAAGGGACGTTAGTACTATCGAATAGTACTAGTATGTAAGGCAAACACCAATCTCAGTAGAATGAACAGTGAAACAAAGAGAAGGCAGTCACAATAATCAATAAGTACTTCATGAAAATACAAGAAAACACCAAATAAGGATTACACAATTCCCAATTCAATCTTTTCATCTTTTTAGGTTAATAATCTTTAGTGCCAAGCCACAACTCACAATGCCACCATATTTTTACACGGAGTCCGGTCTCGACCCGACCGGCTAAGCCATCCCAAGTGAGACATATCCATATCTACAATGTGAATCAATAATTCCAACACAAATGCCACCATGTGTACAGCATGGCGTCCGATCTCGGCTCGATCAGCTAAGCCATCTCACTTAAGATTTCATTTATCCACTCAATTCGCATTTCTTTCCCATCTCCATTACAATTCAAACTTTCACCTTTTTATTTGTTCGAATAACATCATCATTCATGTCAATAAGTACCATCACATAAGGCATTTCACACATAAGAGAATGAGCTTGGAAAATCATAATTACGTTCTCAAATAGCATGATGACATGGTAACCATCTAAAACAATGAGGGAACATGAATCTTTCAATCAAACACACTAAGGCAAACAATTCTAGTATAATCAGGTTGGAACTTACACCAATTATTTGGACACCAGGAGTTCGATTCTAAGAAGAAGAGAGTTAGCCATACATACCTCAATTGCGCTTCTTTAGACTCTACAATTATCCGGAACCCTTAACAACCTCAATCTATTTTTGCAATATACAAATTGAACCCAAAATTAGGAAAATGTTCATAGTTCTAGTTCACTTTTTATTTTTCCCACACTCTCTATCACATGCATGCAAGATGAACCACTCTCATACCCATGAAGTATTACCCTAGTACCCCATTATAGTTATGTTTGAAATTAAGAGCTGGGGTGATGAAATCTTACCTTTTTGGATGAAGCAATTGGGTGCTCTACTTGAGTATTTCCAAGCTTTGAGTGATGGTTGAAGATTGATTGATAAAAATTAGGCCCTCCCTCTTGAACCCTCTCTCTCTCTCTCACTCTAGAAGTATCAGAAAATGAGCTCAAAATAGACCTAAGGGGTGTTTTAACGGAATGGGGGTCGGGTTTTAAATTAAGAAAACTGGTACCCCGACACATAATGGTTATGCGGTCCGCATAGTGACCGCAGAAATGGCCCTCAGGGTCCTAAACTTTCGGCTTAGGTATGCGACCAGTATGCGGTCCACATACTTATTCTGCGGTCGCATAATGCACCGCAGAACTCCCTCCGCAGAAACCCAAGAGGAATTATGCGACCGATATGCGGTTCGCATATCGATTATCGCATAATCGACCACAAAACTGGCCTCAAATTGGCCAAACTTACTGCTTTACTCTGCAGCCATTATGCGGTCCGCAGAGTGATTATGCGGCCGCATAATGGGCCGCAGAAATGCGTTCTTCTGCAAAATATTTTTCTCTCAGTCCACAGGGTACTGTTCAATCCAAAAAGTCTAAACTGCTGGTCGCAAGCTCGCCGCGAAGAATTTTCTACTATAGTAATATTAATATTTCCACAACAATAGCCCACGGCTCCACCACAACGTGTACAAGACTATCAACAACAACAATGAATGTAAAATGCTCAACAAGGAAGATGTTTCAACAATA